TTTTGTTTTAAGGTATTTATTTATTTTTTTATTTTAACTTCTCAATATACATTGTAGTTGATTTTCATGACCTTTTACCTGTTCCTCTTCCCCTCATCAGTTTGTATGATTTATAGAAAAAAAATTTGCAATCTTATTGTAGGACTTAAAGTTTCAGAAGTGTGTGGTGCTCAATCACGCGTATGTGGAGACTTTATCAAGCTACAATGAAATGACTATTAATAATGTGACCATGAAATTCGTTATTATTGTGTATGGCAGTGTGATTGATACTAAGACAGAGGAACCATATTTTGCACCTTGCATTATACCTAAAACCTGTGAGCAGGTAAGGAGTATCATTTCTAGAGTCATTTGCTGTTCATGCTTCTGACCCTCAGTTTCCTCCTTGGTAACAGGGGGCTAATGGCAGCAGTCATCTCATCAGGTTGTTGTGAGGATTAAATGAGATAATGTGTGGTATCTAGGAATGATAGTTACAGTTATTACTTGTCTGCTACTTGCATTCTGGGAGGCAGATTTTGGGGTACACGGGGCAAAAGCTCTAAGAAAGGAAGACGGTCCCACCAGTGGGAAGGCTGGGCCTTGAGACCTGGAACATACATAAAGGGGTAAAAGTAATTCATTGGATGCTGGTGGATGCTTTCCAAACTGGGAATTTCCAGTCCAGTTACAAGTAAGGTGTAGAAATTTCCTCTCTGGTGTCTATAAATATGCAAAACAATTTGCTGGTCCAAGACCTCTTGAAAACAACATCAAAGATGATTTGAAATAAAAAAGATAGAGCTTATGTTGGAGACCCAGTTCTAGGTTTTGGCTTGTTTCTTGTATTCTTTGGAAAGGTTGGGATGAGAAGCAGCTAAGTCAGAGAACAAAGAATACTCTTTTGACTCATTTTGACTTTTTTCTTTAGGTTCAGGGAACTTCAGATTTAAGCAAGCTTCTGATAATCCGGGTATCCGAACCTGCCAAAAATAATGATAATGCCACTACCATGGGTAAGGGATAGCCTTTTAGTGGTAGGAAAACCATAAACTTCAATACATGTAAAATTTATTTAATTCTAAGAAAATGATTTGAGAGGGCATCGTATGGGTTTATCATTAGTTCCTATTCTTGGGCCCTGGCTGTGACATTGCTTCTGGGAGGTAACATATTATAGGCTTACAGACACTGAAACCCAGGTGGCTCCTTCCTCTCCCATGCCCTTCCCTTCATACCCATGACAGGGGAGAGTAGCTTCTATGTCATACTCAGTTCCTGCCCTGGTTGGTGGAGACATATAGTACTGTTGGAGGCAGTACAGAAATGGGGAGGGGATAGACTGTCTCACAGTGAGCCCAGTTATGGGGAGCTGATTTGCTCCCAACAACTGAAGGGAATATGGAACCTGATTCGTGCTCATTGGATATTCCAAACCACAGTCACAGCCACGGGTCAAATGACTTTTTATAGGTGCACTTTGATAGTCACTAAGTAATTATAGTCATGAAATGCTTATTAGCATCCAATCGTGTGCATCATGATGCTAAGCATTACACAAAGGAGACTGGATAGGAGGGCATTGCTCTAGAGAAAATGCACTCAAGATCTTTCATTCCATGCTCAGCACCCCTGCCTTACCAAGCCTTGTGTCAACATCCTCTCAACTGCCCCAGATGGAACACTACAGAATCATCCTTGATTTGTGACTCTAATCTGTACCATCCCAGTGTCTACAATACATGTGACCTGCCAGCATAGATATTATGCAATTTTTAAGGAATTGTTAATTTGGAGGGAGGATTTACATGATTCCAAACTGTGTGCTTAAAGTGAGATTTTATGAATAAATTATATCTCACTATTTTTCATTTGCATAATTCTTATAAAATGCAATCCCACTGTGTGCTGGGCACCATGCCAAGTGCTAGTTGGTGAGCAAGCCATACACAGTTTCTGCTCTCATGGGGAGGAGAGACAGGCATTAAATAAATAATTATGCTTTTCCCTTAGCAGCAATTAGGACCTCAGACATTCTTATGGCTCACCTTCCATCCCCTGTTCTGGAGTCATATGATGGGCACCATGATTTCAGGAGCCCCCTCTGCTCCTGAATCACCTGTCTAAGCTGGCTAGCACTGAGATAACCATTACCCCAGCCCACACAGTCTTTTTAAGTCTACGTCTCTGCTTCTTCCAAACCACTTCTGGGGCACAGGAGTCTATGGCAAGGCTAGATAGAACTCAGGGCCTAGTATCAGCCCCCATGGGGCACCGTGAGGGCTATTGAGTCAGAGTTCTTAAGCACTGCCAGAAAGCAGGGCACAGGTCCCTACTGTTTTGGGCCTGTAGGCCTCTGGGTTTGAGACAAAAGTCACAAATGGTAGGCCCATGGACTGAATCCAGCTGGTACACTGGGTTTGGCCCCCACATGTTTTCTTTAAAAAATTTTAAATTAATTGCCAAGTAGAAATACACAGTAGTTTCACATTTAAAAAATACAGATTTTGAAATTTTCATGAAAAATGAGAAGGTCTGCCACCACTCAGCCGTTATTCCTACGTGTGGCAACAATAAGATAGAGCTGATTATCAGCTGGCTTCAATAGAGGGAGTAGATGCTTTCCAGTTTGCCACAGTCCACACCACTCCCTCTTGTCTTTACCCAGCCCACTTTGTGTGATCTGCCTATTTTCATTTGAGTTTGTCAGCCCTTGTGTTGGACTTTTGGGAGCCTTTTACAAACCTCTGGGGGAAGAAAGGGAGACTTGTAGGGAAAATGCAAATTGGTATTTCAAAATATTCTCCTGCTGCCTTTACTCTTAAACTCCTAATTTAGTTTTTCTGTTCAATGCATGTATTTGGTTAACCTCAGACAAAACCAGTCTTCGAATGACCAACAGAGAATATAACTGGAAGAGAAAAGATGAGGTAACAAAGTTGGCACTTTGATTAGACTTTTCCTATTGTGAATATTAAGCTACATAACTGAAACAAATTGTAAGGTCAAGTAGCAAAACGTAGATGGTGAGAAAAGAGACTCCTAGCTGTATCTCATTAATTTGGACAAATTGAGATACAGTTCATCTGAATTACTTAAAAATTAATATTATAGAATACTTTTGAAAGATGTAATTTTGCCCCACCCAACTTTTCCCTATCTCACTCCCTTCCCGTGATATTTAGTGCAAAGAATAGGAATCTATGGGATTAGGGATGGAGAGGGACATGCTTCATGTGTGCATTTAGACATTAGTGTCTAAGTATCTATGCTTCTCCCTTTGGAGTGTTCATTCTCTGTGGATGTCTGGGTGCTATGCGTGTGTGTGTGTGTGTGTGTGTGTGGCCCTGAGTGGTCATTGGCATCCTCTTAGAGTATAAATTTCATTTGAAGATCTTTTAAAGGGCCGAGCCCGTGGTGCACTCGGGAGAGTGCGGCACTGGGAGCACAGGGATGCTCCCGCCGCGGGTTCAGATCCTATATAGGAATGGCTGGTGCGCTCACTGGCTGAGCGCGGTGTGGGAGATACCACACCAAGGGTTGCGATCCCCTTACCGGTCACGAAAAAAAGACAAAAAAAAAAAAAAGAGATCTTTTAAAGTGAAAAGTTAACTCGTTTAACTGCTAGGTTATTTAAAATGTTTTATATTAAAATAAACATTATAGAGTAGGATGACAAATTTGCATGAATTTTTAAGATAAGACAAAAGACTTCAAAACATTTCGTTATGGAGAGTCACGTAGATTTTTGCAACCACATCTTTTCCTACTTTCCTCAGCAATCGAGCTAATTTAGAAAAGTTTGAGAAGTGCTGGAAGTTATGCCTAGAGTTGGGGAGGGAAAGAGACCTGTCACATGGGGCCAGTTCAGAGCAGAGGCAAGTCTGGTGGTGGTGTGGGGGGGGGCAGTCTGCAAGGCTTGTGACTTGAGGGGTCTCTGTTAGGATTCCTCACTGAACTCTTTTGGGCCAGAGCCCACTGGTGGGTGGGGTGGAGGAGCAGTTGGCTCTGACAGGGCAATAGTGTGCTAGGTAAATGCAGAAGTGGACCAGGTAGCACCAGGTAGCAGTAATCGTGGGAAGGACAGCTTCAGGAACCTTCAGCACCCTTCCTCCTCCCAATCTCTGACGGCCAGATGCCATATCATCCCAAATAAACATGCCCCTTAAGGAAAAATGATATGATGTGTAAGTGCAGCTTTACAATGTATATATGTATACGTTGTGGAATAGCTAAATTATAGCCTTACCCTAGAGAAAGTGGTGGACACACACACATATGCCCCTGCCTAGGGTAAAAAATATGTACATGCTTATTTCTCTGAGCAACCTGGCAATAACAAATCTTTCAAACAAAAATAAGACACACCCACAGTAGAGGGTGGGGAGGATTGGGAAGATGTTGGTCAAAGAACACCAAATTTCGGTTAGGAATAAGTTCAGCTGATCTCTTGTACAACATGGTGACTAGAGTTAATAATCATGTATTACATACTTAAAAATTGCCAAAACAGTAGATTCTAAGTATTCTCATCACATCCCCAACCAGGTAGCTACCCTAAGGCCCTTCTAACAGAAAGTTAGGTCCTGCTGCTGTGATTTATGATAATCGAGGTGGTCTGCAGTGCATTTGTTGGGGAAAGGAAAGTTGCACTGACCAACCTTATGGTGAATAGTTCCTTTAAGCAAAGCACATTTTTAGGTAGCCCTCCTAGGGTCATCCTCTCTTCTCTCTTAAAGAGACCCTATTTCACAAATGGGAAACCTAATTGAGAGTCAAATAATTGAGCTCCTCACTTGTTACTATCTTTTCCAGGCCCCATTATTTAAACAAAATTCTCATTCTGATTTACAAAAAATGTTTCCAGTTACTCTGCAATTAGTCATAAAGTTAATTGGGATTCAACTTTCATAACATTTTTCTTTTCCATAAGCACACCTTTGACAGACTACTCTAATTGAATTAATATAGTATTGTTTTACAAGATGACAGTGTAGAGATGCACATGTAATTAATTATAATGTATCATTTAAAACTTTTAATATGTAAGATCGTTTAGGGGAATTTTCCAGGTAATAAAATGGAAACTTTTCAGTACATTTTCTGTTTTCATTTAACAGGTAAGAAGTTTTTCCTGAAATGTTTGTAGTCTAATATTTTATTTTTGACTTTCTTCTATAGTTGGAAACTGGACACCATTTTAGGAAAGGCTATTAATGATGCTAATGTGATGTGCTGAGTCAGGTTAAAGGCTGAGCTAATGCCCTGACTCACATACTGAAGGAGTATCTGGCAAGGAGTTCACTTAGAAGCTGCTGAAACAGTTTACTGCTGCATTTATTTTACAAGCAATTGATGGAATGCTTTCTGTAAAAACTCTAATTTTAAGTAGCTGCTTTATACTTGAAATGTTCAAAAATTATTCAGGATAATATAAGATACGCTAAAATTTATGGCCTACCAAATGCAGCCCGGCTTCCAGCTGAGAGCAAGTTATAATGGAGAGTGTTATTAAGTGTTATACAATTAATATACTACTGTCTAAAGCATAGGCCCTGTAATTTTTGTTTGTGAAACTGCTATAATTAGGGTCTCCCTAATATTTTCCAGAGTATAGTTATTCTCCCTACCCCAATTTAGTAAATATTGAAAAATGGAACTACGTTCCACAATCTTAAGTTACTGAAAGCAAAGTTAGGAGAAATTAACATTGTTACACTACATAGTACTACTGTTTGATGTCACTTTTCATTTTATTTTTAAAAGTCAAATAAAGTTGAATTTTATGGTTAACTATTACTGAGAATCCATTATTCATTTTCATCTCAAGACTTTGAAAGAATACATGATTCTTTAGAGAAAACCATAACAGAGGTAAGAATAGAAGGAAATATAAGAAAAAAAGTCAAGCTCAAATTATTTACTTAAGAACCTTCTGGATACCTAACATAATGGGACAGCATTTTGCAGAGTGGTCTTTGGAGCACCTGTGTGTCAGCAAATATCAGGTGTGGCTATTGCACATCACAGAAACCTGAGCACAGTGGCATACTCACATAGGGGTTCATTTTTCTGATGTGACCAGATGTATGGAAATAGGACACAGGATTGGTGCAGCTGCTTGAGGATGTTATGGATCCAGGCTCCTTGTAGCCTCCTACTTCTTCATCCTTGGCCTGTGATTTTTTTCCTCATGGTGGCAAAATGACACCCGTAACACCAGGCATCCCATCTGCTTTTCAGAAGTAGGGCAAAGAGCTTTCTCCTTATGAGGCTTTGCCTCTTCAGTCAGGAGGGGTCCCTACTCTAGGCCGGAACTGTCACATGGCCACACCTATTTCAAAACTCATCTTGAGATGAACAAGCACCTCATCTTGCAACCCTTAACACAATCTGGGTGTTCTTAGTAAGGCATAAGAGAGAAATGGATATTGGGTGTACAGCAGCAGTGTCTATCATATGCTGTCATCGTACCTGGATTGTTAAAAATGAAGGAGTTATGGCCATCTATGGAATCAACCTCTGGGGGTAAGACCCTGCGCTCTGCACTTTTGTGCACTCCTCAGGTGATTTAGTGCACATTGAAGTAGTAGAAAACAGATGTCTGCTCTACAAGTTTGCTTAGGAGCCACAATACCATATATCTGAAACAACTAGAAGACAATACTTTATTCCATGCATATCAATTAGGATGCTTTGGGCTGCAGGTACCAGAAAACCCAACTCAAAAAGGCTTAAACACTAAGGCAATTTACTATTATATGTAATACAAGTCAAGAAGTAGGGCAGGTTTGCTGTTGGTAGACTCAGTGATGATGATCAAGGGTCATGTTCTTTCCTCTCCACTCTGCTGTTCACCTTTTCAGTCCCGTTCTATGGCTGTTTCCTCTTTCTAGGTTGTAAAATGGCTGCCAGTGGCAATTAACACTTCATGTTTCCTGGTTCATATCCAGTGGGAGACCAAAAAAAAAAAAAGAGTCTTTCAATTGTTCTCCAGAGAATTCTAAAAAAACTCCAACCCTCTACTTGTGTCTTATCAGCACACCTATCTCTGAACCAGTCACTGTTAAGAGGAGGGTGGTAATGACAGTTAATATGTCCTTTAAGTTAGAATGCAAGTTGTATTTCTGCAATTTGCATAGCTTCCAAGAGGTAGGGTCCAATGGATGTTTGAGAAATCACTATGACAGCACACTGTACCCAGTAATTGGCATTTTGACTTGGCCATTTCAACACAGGCATTCTGGCTCCTTCACAGTGCTTCTCTTCAGTGCAAATCTCCATCCATCGGATGGAGGTTGGAGGTGAGATCAAACTTCTGACAAGACCACACAGGAGTCATAAGTTTACCACCTTGCTCATCTTAGAGGACTATCTGTTCTAGCCAAAGCGTTTCCTGATTCTGAGTGGTCATATGGACTGCCTCTCAAATTCCTTGTTTCTCCCACAGCCACAATGGTCATATATTAGCTCACTTTTAATGAATAAATCTTTGGATGCATAATGGAATGTATTTTGTTCTATAAAAATTGAGGGCAACAATTCTCGGTAAGGAAACTCTACTCTCCCTGCCCAGTAGTGTATTTACAAATGTACTTAAGATCACTTCTACCCTGGAAATCCATATTCATTATGTAACATTTTATATTTGGAAAAGAATACTTGCACAAAGTCTCATGACTTCATAGTTGCTTATTTACAGAGCCAGAATTCAATTTTGAGGATAAATGACCCCTTTTCCTTAAGCTCTTTCAGCATTTTTATAGATATCATCTATGTGGGTAGAATTGATACAGCCAACAAAACTCCAAGGTTTGGGTGCTTGAGTGAGTGGTGAGAAGGAAAATAGGTTTATTAAGGTTGGGGGAAAAGTTGATCAATTTGATTCTGAATTTGCAGATTCAATGGCAAATGTTTCATTGGTGAGTAAACATAAGACTCAAGTTCAAGTAATGAAGGTTGGAGATTCAGACTTTGAACTGTCAACAAAAAAGAAAGCTGAAACCGGACTCTCCATGAGACAAGGACCAAAGGGCAATATCAAAGGGAGATAAGAGAGCAGTGAGGAATCTGATAGCTAGGGAAATAACAGGAAACCGAGGCGCCGGGGAAGAGTCGGAAGATATGCTGTAAGAGTTTCTTGAGGCAGATAGTATTAGTTCTTTAAGGGCAGAATATATTGAGTTGGGAAAGAGTAGGTGCAGCAGGCAAGGCCTCTGGCCTCTCGGCCATGTGAGGATATAGCAAGAAGGCAGCTGTCTACAAGCCAAGAAACGGGCCCTCCACAGACATGTGATCTACCAGTGCCTTGATGTTGGGACTTCTAGTGTCTAAAACTGTGAAAAATAAATGTTTGTTGTTTAAGCCATCCAGTCTATGGTATTTTTGTTATAGCAGCCTAAGCAAACTAAGACACCATGAGTGGGAAACCTCTTTCTAAACCTAAGACTTATTAACACACTATAATAAAAGTCTCAGAGACGATGAGTCCAGAGTAGCAAAAAGCATGAATATACCATTATGCTCAAGGTACATATTCTTAAGCCCAGCAGTCCGATTCCGGTATTAGGTCTGGAGCTCTCTTTATACCAGCAATCACAAAATCACGGGACTCTAGGATCCAAGCAAGTAACATAAAGGAGCAAAGTGGGCAGAGATATCTGGTGAAATCACACATTCTTTAGCTGCTCCTCCCTTTTCATTGTATGGAATTTTATGTCTTGTTTTTTGGAGAAAAGTACTCAGGCCAATCCTAGCAAGAAAGAAACCTCTGCCCTTCAGGATGTGAGTCTAAACTAGTACTTCAAAATGTGACAACAGAATTCTCTGATCCAGTTTTAACGAAGGATTTTATTTGCTGATCCCCCAAAAGCAAAATACAGAAAAGAGCAACCCACTGCAAGAACAATTCCATAATAAAACATTTTCAGTTAGCCTCTCCTCTCCCCAATGGCGTGCCCTTTCACATCTACATCATCAGAGAGCAGGCTGACATATGGAAATACTCTGTGTGAAAGGCACATGGCACTTGTATTGCTCACACCTCCTGGTACACTTCCTGGCAGGCAAGGAGAGCCTTTTCTGCAGCCTCCACCTTTTGATAGAAATTTATTGCAAATTTTTTTTATAGCAAAATATTTAGAGATCCTTCCCCCCACTTTAGTTATCTACTAGAAAAGTACAGAATTAAAAAGATTTTTCCCCCAGCTGTGATCAAAACCTTGAATATTAAAGAACATTTGGGTTACTCTAAGTTCCTGGGATATATACTTAGATATTTACAGAGGAGATTGAACCTTCAAGTTCTGTTGCTCTCCAAATTGGGTTACAGAAGAAGATATGATTAGGACAGCTTAAAAAAAAAAAAAAAAGATAATCTTCTATGATGGAGCAAAGCAAGCTTTCTCAACCATCAACCAATAATCCTCGTTGATCACAAACGCTGTAGAAATCCAAGATTAGAATCTCAAATATAGAATATATTTGAGAGAGCCAGCAGAGTGCTGAGATATATGAATAGAATAGAATGCTGGTTAAGGCACAGAGTAACAAATCCCCAGAAATTTTTAGTGCCATTTGCATTTAATAAGCCAGTAGTATAGCAATCTAATGACGTTGGCTGTGATCACACCAGGATGTTATGGACTGGAATTGCAGCAGGAAAATATGATTGGCAGCTGGTGTCCTCTGGCTCACTGTGCTAAGTGAGCCCTCCCAGCACCAACTTCCTGGAGAGACTTAAGGCTGGGGAGTGTAGCGGAGATATTTCTTGCCAGATGGGAGCTCTTTGGTGAAGACTCCTTTAGGGAAAATTTTTTTGGCTTCCTCTTCAGGGATGGTTGGGAGGACCATCACACTATCGCCATCCTATTGAAAGACATGGAGAATGGTGAAATTCAGTCTTACAGCAAAGCTTGAAAGTCTTCAAGAATTAACTTTAGAAAAGTAGCCACAGGTTGCTAACAAGAACAATCAAGTATCCTTTACTCTCGCCCGTCTGAGGAATTTTGTTTTCACAAGTTGATCTTTGGTACTTTTGTGAGGTAAGCATTTCCTCATCTTAAGAAATAGTCCTGTTCTAAACCCAGTAATGGCTTGTCATCACACTTTAAATTTTAATTCTAAGGTCAACAGCCTTAGAATCTTGGCTCCTTGTTCATTTTTAGTTCCTCACCTCATCCCTGCTGCTGCTTTTCCAGGCGTGCTGGCTTTTCTTTTATTTCTCCAACACGCCAAGCCCACTTTTAGGTAAAGCTCCTTGTG